AATTCGAGTAGTTTTGACCCAGAAAGCAAAATTTGAATATCAAACACTTAGGTTCAAGATTATGCCAAAATTTCATGTTTTCCGTCCCGTTTTTGGGTGGAACCAACAGCCGCAGGAGCCAGTAATTAATGCAGACGAAGTCGTTCTGGCCGAAGAAGAATAAAAGAGCCGAATCTGGCGGACTAGTCGGCGGCTGATGAAATGAGAACACTCTCACCTTCACCTTGAATCTCGTTTTGAATTAGGAGCTCGTTGTTTTATTCTCGTTTGGTTATGCTCGCTGAACAACAGTCATAATATTGACTGAGGCATGTGTTTGTGGAAGTTTTGCACTTTTTTCTCCGCCAAATATGTGCTACATGTTTCGATGGGCACATGTTGGGCACATTAAATGCACTTTTCGGTTTGATTGGGATTCGGGAAAGACTGCATTATAGTCGAGAAGTTGGTTTTTACAGGACCAACTTTATCGTGTAAAATCTGTCTAGAACTTGCAATTTTTCAACCAGAACTGTGAAGTTAGCAACTTCTTAGAAAGCTGTTACTTTGAGCAGCTTGATGAGTGAGACTGCGGAATATAGTGTCAGTATAACTTTTATGGCGTTGTTGTGCACTCTTTGCAGCCTTACTGTCCTGACACTTTGTATGCAGTTTTACCAAAATTATATAACAGATAACTGAAAAAATCACAAAACTAAGAACCTTCCAGACTTGAAAGCCAAGACCTCAAAACCAGAAAGAAAAATAGTTAAGTACCTAAACTAGCTTTTCTAAAAACTTGGTCCCAAAATTTACCAAAAAACTGTCGTGTTTTCCTACACAAATCTTAACGGGAAATAAATTTAAATATTCAAATCAGATTTCCGTTCAGTACAAGTTAGATAGTGATTTGACCAACTTCAAATTCAATTTGTAACTGAACAATGACAAATAAACCCTGGGTAAATAAGCAAAATGAACCATAAAAAATCCATCTTCACCAACCATCTATACGCTTCTTCATCAATGCCGAGTTTTCCTCCTAAATAGCCAACAGGCTTAAACATCATTCGAAAATCGAAGATGGGGTGGAATAACGGCTCGCTGACAAAAGGAATTTCTAAACCTACTGGCCCATGAAAATAGATGATTATCTTGCGAACAGTGGCGCCGATTCTTCTACTATTTTGCTGGACAGCAGCTGCACAAAATCTATCTTTTTATGCAGCCGAAAAATGTCCATGTCCATTTTGATTGGCAAACACCTCAAGTCTGCACGTCAGCACAATGTTGATTGGATCAAATCACTCGTTTGGGAAAAAATGATGAGACTACGCCAATGCACTCACTGCAAGGGACGATTCGAATTCAAGGTTCCACAACAGAACGAGATTTGGAAATATCTTACCCCCGCTACTTAAGCACCTTGTTGGTCCTTAGAACAGTTTTTCGATGATAATTCTAACAAGTAACTGTAAATCACGACAAAATATTGTAGGCAAGTTAGTTTGTCAATGCCCGAAATCACCGACGTTTAATCAAGACAAAGTAAAGTAATGGTTTAATTAGAGAATTTTGAATATGACTGGTCGAACAGGTTTTTGTCAGCCTTGAACTTGGTAGTATCATGATCTGTACGGTGTCAGCAGCCTTTTGCATTTGCAAACAAATAATAATTAATGTATTTCAATGTAACTAAACGATCGAAATATGTTCACTCACATAAGACTATTTGGATAGTTAATGGCTTGGTGAAAAAATGCAAGTCTTGTTCCCTCGAAGTGGTTAATAATTGAGCGACAAAACCGATCATTGTCTGTATGGATCGATTGCATCCATTCGCGAATTTCGATGCCGATGCATTATTTCAAGGCCATTCTTCGCCCATTCTTCGCTAAATTATTTCGGATGCTGATTGTCGAGGACCGACCGGATGCGAATCACAATGCTGTGTCTTGATGTGCGATTATAATGACTTTTTTCTATCGGCATCGACTTCAAACTGAAGATTTAGGATGGTTAAGCTGCATGAGATTGGTCTGTTTTATTTTCTATTTTGAGCTGAAGAAAGTGGAACAAAATGGTGTGGTGAATAAAACGTAAAAAGCGAATTTGCCTCTCTAGAATATTTAATGTATATACTTTCCTGACTGTGTTTCAATTCCAAATCAAATTCATTCGTGGCTTTCAGTCATTTATTGTCTCTATTTATCAATCAAAATACGTTTCGGTGTATTTTTCCACCATCATCAGTTTTTATGTGTAGCGTTGTTGCT